TTGATTGATATATAGAGGTCTTTGAAACAGGTTGTTGTGACTTGCTGTGTGGTAGCCTACTACTTAGACAAATATTGCATTCTGATAACATTTTATTATTTCATATAAATGACACGTAGGGATGGGTACCGAGCCCCGGTATTAAACGGGCCCCGGGGCTGAATTATTAAAGACCGTGGTACCGCTAAGCTCCAACGTTAGCGGTCTTTTTATCAGTACTGGAGACATGTGTATGTCATGTGTATTATTTCTACACAAACATTATATTGCAGTTTTAGTGTCGCCAACTCCGTTTCTAATACGCAAAAAGACTGCAAAATGCGTCTATGATTATTTGTAGTATTTTCGATCTCTCTCTCCGGCCTGCTTGCGAGGGGGCGGGGCAGTTTACACACACGCTCTGCTAGATGCAGCAGCACACACACACGGAGGAGATGGCGGAGAGAACGCGCTCCGAGGTGTGGTTAAACTTCACCCGTCTCGATGCTCGTTGCCTAAAGTGCAATAAGAGTTTAGCATGTAAGGGCAGTAACACGAGCAGTTTGTCTAAACATTTAGCAAAAGTGCACCACATTCAGACGGAGAAATGCACCGGGTTCGACTGTCTTTCTAGTAGCTCTGTAGCCCCATCCACGAGTAACTTTTCCACGTCAGGTGTTATGTATGCTAGCAGCAACACACGGAGTTAACTCAATTATACAAACATGGGTTAATGATTAGAGGTAACTGAGTTATTTATTTTGTTAAAGTTTCAGCTATTCTGTTTACAGTTCTGTCATCAGATTATTTAATACGATTTGTTAAAACGTTGTTGTTTCTTTTGATGTGAAATATTATTTATTTAATTTAAATAAAAAGCAATGTTAGTTTTGTTCACAATTTGTTTAGTTAGTTTTATCTTATTTTTTTCTCTCACAACGCGACGGCGGACCGACTCCCGAAGAGAAGATGGTGCGGGCCTGCGCTCTCCCCATTACTATGTGCGAAAGTTGACATTAAATAAGCATGGGCTTATGTGCACAGGTAATCCTACCCATAGCAATTCCAAAATTGCCATGATGGATGATATGAAAAAAAATTGCCATGACAAAT